ATAATAAATAATCAAACCATGAGCCAGGTTCTCAAACTTCTGGGCCAGTTCTTTCATGGAGAGTTTGGTTTCAGTTTCTTCGTCAAGTTTGGACAGTTCTCTGAGTATTTTACAGCCACCAAGAGCACTCAGGACTGCCTCACCTGCCTGGAAAGGAAAGCAGCAAATTATCTACTTTCTGCAAAGAAACAGGTGCAAAAAGTTAATTCATTGTATCTAATGTTGTCTGTTTCATTATCTCAGTTCTTTCTTTTGAAGTAGTCTGAGTGGTAATGCAGACACATACAGCCATTAACATATTTACTTGCTGCACGAAGTCTAAGCTGGTGATATTTGCAATTCACTTAAAGGTACTATATAAAAGTATTTTATATTTTTAGTTCAGTAGCTGCTTTTTATTTACTGCAAGCTGGATAGAAACTTTAAGTAGAAGCCCACTTAAATCCTACTTAAAGCTTGGCTTGCTGTAATTAAATGTAAATGCTTAAATGTAGCATGTTAAAATGCACAATCACAATTGAATTTGATTGTTATATAGTAATAATTTACTTATAGATTAAGATTTAAAATTATGATATACATTTAACATAATCAACGCTTACATCATAAAATAATCATTAAAAATATATTGTAATTAACTGACGCCAACAACTTTCACATGTTACCATGAGCACCTAGCTGTGTCACTTCATTTCACCTGAAAATTGATGTTTTTATTCAAATAAATATCTGTTCATCCATTCATACACCGAGGACTCTGTAGTATATAAATCAGTATAAGAGGATTTTTTAAATTTAGTTTAATTAATTTAAATTGAATTTAATTTAATTTAATTTTTAATTTTTTTCTTCTGGAAAAGCACCACTCCTTAACTAATAATAATGCAGAAACAAGCTGTAGTTTGATTATTGGGGATTTCAAACCAGCTGAACACAAGTAAAATCCTTTTTGCAGTTTGTCTCAGAACTTTTACCATCTCCCAGAAATAAAGGGCCATCTCACTGCGGTTTTGCAGTACAGCCCAGAGGAAGAGTGAAGCCCAGGGATGAGGGCAGGGCAGGTCCTGATACATGCAACGTCCACGCAGAACCTTACTGGCACGCTTTGATGAATGAAGAAAAGAATGCTCATTATCACGTCAATAATTTAAAAAAAAGAAAAAAGAAATCCTATAACCACAAGTACACTCTGTGTGCATGTTTTGAAAAGTTCAGAGTACCTTCAGAGACATCCTTTTGGATGAAGTGAACTGAAAGCCCAAAGCT